TAAGCTGGTAGCCATGGTCAGGTTGGATGTAACCGTCCTTTCCCCTGAAATTCAGAAATAACTTGATTACTGGCAAAAAAATAAGGTCCCTCCCAATAATGTTCCATATGGAATGAGTTACCAGCAGAAGCTGGTTTAAAAAAAAACACCCTAATTTTTTTAAAAAGGGAGGGGGGCTGCATGAGCCATAAAGATAAAGGAAGGTGTCACATCAAGAGAAGCTTGTTTACATTTGGCAAACAGCTGTTGGGGATCCTCAAGCAAGTGATAAGATCGCATGGAGAGAAAGTTGGAAATAGTTCTTAACTCCACGCCTCCAAAGCCTGTCACCAAACAGGGCATATTTACAAATCGGCCTGGAACATGGGAGGCTGCCTATTGTGTCAGACTATAGGTCCATCAGGGACGCGGGTGGCGCTGTGGGTAAAAGCCTCAGCGCCTAGAGCTTGCCGATCGAAAGGTCGGCGGTTCGAATCCCCGCGGCGGGGTGCGCTCCCGTTGTTCGGTCCCAGCGCCTGCCAACCTAGCAGTTCGAAAGCACTTTACCTTTTTATAGGTCCATCTGGTTTAGTATTGTTGACACTGACTGGTAGCATCTCTCCAGGATTTCAAAACGGGGTAAGGTAAAGGTAAAGGTACCCCTGCCCGTACGGGCCAGTCTTGCCAGACTCTAGGGTTGTGCGCTCATCTCACTCTATAGGCCGGGAGCCAGCGCTGTCCGCAGACACTTCCGGGTCACGTGGCCAGCGTGACAAGCTGCAACTGGCGAGCCAGCGCAGCACACGGAACGCTGTTTACCTTCCCGCTGGTAAGCGGTCCCTATTTATCTACTTGCACCCGGGGGTGCTTTCGAACTGCTAGTTTGGCAGGCGCTGGGATCGAACGACGGGAGCGCACCCCGCCACGGGGATTCGAACCGCCGACCATGCGATCGGCAAGTCCTAGGCACTGAGGTTTTACCCACAGCGCCACTCGCGTCCCACTCAAAACAGGGTAGCATCATAGAAATGTAGAGTTTGAAGGGACCACGAGGATCATTTGGTCCAACGTCCCTGCAGTGCAAGAATCTTTTGCGCAACGTGGGGCTCGAACCCATAACTGAAGGTATTTCCCCTCTCTTTCTGGACGTGCCAGGGATTGAATCTGGGACTTGATGCCTGCATAGAAGATGCTTTCCTTATGAGCTATGGCAACCAGGGAGTTGGGCTGGATCAATAGATTATGGCATATCATATCATAGCAAGAAAAGGATTTCCCCTGTACCTTTTCTTATTCTAATGTACCTGCATGTGGTGAGATGTTTGTATGTGCCCCCAATGAAAATTAAAGCTTTATTTTGTCAAAGAAAATACTAGTTTTCAAACCGCCCTGTTGACATGTGGGTCCATGGTTGTCAATGTCACACAAATTGTTTCCTGCAGGAAGCTGAATTGGTAAGGTCCCTGCACAAGGACTGAACCACATTGAAATGCAGCACCTGTTACCATCCCTAAATATGTGCTTATTATTTAAGGTGCGCATTGCTATGTTTCCCGCTGTACAGTTAATATAGTGCAAACTAAGCATATTTATTCTCCAAAGTAAACCCCACTGAATTCAATATGGCTTGTTCTCATGTAAATGAGCGTAAAATGGCAGCCTTAATGTATAAATCTTCGGAATAGTCCCTCTTGGTTGGTGCAACAAAACAATAGTTCTCACTTAGATCTGCGGTTCTATAACTAAACAGAAAAGGAAACAGGCTTGCTATGCCGCATAATACCTTTCCAGAGGCAAAATTTGTTTTACAGCAGGAAACGTGTAATAAATAGAATTCACTTTAATAAAGCCCGTCTGTCACTTCTGCAAAACACCTGAAGTGACATACAGTAAAATGGAAATCCAGCCCCTCCAAGTTCAGCACAGTTTTGTTCTCTTCTATTAAAACCAGTGGGAAATACCTGAAATAACTTGGCTGTTGGTGGTTTATGCCTGAGTTACCATTGGATACAGTTGTTAGCCACATTGTTATGCAAAGTATTCTTCCATCTAGTCTGGGTCACAATTGCTGTACAAGCAGTTTAGATTTCGAGATTCTGTGTTGGTACTGAGGATGGGACAGAAACGTGACTCAGCCTTCCTTTGAAGCCAAATCTGTCAAATTTGCAATTCTTGAAACAATATTGAGGGCCAAAACACAGCCGTCCTTCAAAATCCCACTTACTTTAATTTTGCAGTGCAGTCCTCCAACAGAACAGTGTTTACAAAAATTGTATATATTAGGGTGAAATGGTCATAAAAATGAATATATTAGGTAGAAATGCACATAAAAATGAATATATTAATGAAAATAGCAAGCCATAATTCATTACGGTAGGACAAATTGCTTTCAAAAATGTGGTCAAAACTGCATACAAAAATATGTTTCTTAAGAGAAGTTTGCACTACAGTGCTGAAGAATTTTCATTTTTTAAAAATGCAAATTGCTACAGAAATGTCGAGAACTGAATTTCAGAGTGGGGGAAACGAGAAGCTACGAGAACTAAAATTGACAGATACCTCCGGCCCTACTAGGGAATGCCTGTGTGCTTTTATCTTTATCATCATGTTGCCTGCTCTACCTGTACTTTTGTATATAAATATATTACTATTATTGGCATTGGTATTCAAAATCAAAAGTAACCATATCAGTCCGTAAGTTTTAAAAAATAATAATCAAAAATCCATCAGATATCAAGCAAAGCCGGCAGGGAGGAGTAATGATGCTGAAGCCCTGTCGTCTTTTGTTTAGTCAGACTTCAGATGGAATGTGGGAGGTGGTGGCAGACAATTGGACAAGGCTCTGCTAGCAAGGTAGCTGCGCCTAGGAAGGCTGGGTTGTCAGGTAGCAGCGCTGGCCCAAGACATTTTGGCACCTGAGGCGAACCATAGAATGCCGGGCCCCTCCCTGCCAGGAAAGAAAGGGTGAGTGAAGATCTGCATCAGGAATGTAAAGGGAATAAAGATCTACAGCAGGATCTGCTGCTGCCCCTGCGGATCCTGCCGCCTGAGGCCATCGCCCCACCTTGCCTCATGGGTGGGCCGGCCAGCCCTGCCTTTCAGGGAGCAGGGGACACAAAATAAAACAGTAGTTGGCACTAGGATTAGCTGGCACTCGTGCAATAGTTTTCCTTTCGTAATGGAGACATTGGATCAAGCACCGGGGGGGGGGCATACCTTAAAAACTTAACGAAATGCTGAGCAGTTGCTTTAGGGGGCAGCATAGCTTGCTGACATTTTTCCAAGTTCTTCTTTTGAAAAGCATTTATGGAGTGTTCCAGTGCTGCAATATTAACATAAGTGTGCTCAGCATCTGAAAACAAATATGCACATATTTTTTTTAAAACAACCAAGCAAGCAAACAACAAACAAACGACAAATTGGTGCACACTGGTTAGAGGTGGGGAGCAGTTAATGGTTTCTTATTGAATGTGGTGCTATGAGCGTTAGCCAAAAGGTGCTTAGATCACAGGCAGAGAACCTGTGGCCCTCCAGGCATTATTGGACTGATGCTCTCATTCGTCCCAGCCAGCATTGTCAATATTGGTAAGGGATGAGGAGGAGTTGCAGTCCAGCAACATGTGGATGGCCACAGGTTCTCTGCCTGTGATCTGAGACAGGATACAATAAGGCAAAACGAATGAGAAGGGAGAAAAGCAAAATAAACAAGTTCTGGCACCAGCACGTTCATATTAATACGTAACAAAGTTATGTCCAGTGAAATGTTTACTTTTAAGGAGGCAGGTCCAGGAGTGGAGAAGGCCAATGGCAGCTAGTCTCATCCTGCAGAGGGAACTTGGTTGTCTGTTTTCTCCCTCTGATACTGTGGTATTGCCCTGTTGTAAACAACCAACACCTTGGGGAAATAAGCACAGCTTTTGTATCATGCAATCATATCATAATTTCTTTGTGAATAGTCGGCCCACACAGGAGGTTGGGGTGAAACGCCCACCTCAGGCAGCACAGGTGCAAGAGATGGCGCTCCACGTACCTCACAGTTTCCGCCACCACCAGAGTGCCCCCGGGGCAGAGAAGCCAAGCAGCAATACTTTGTGGAATGCCCTGACTCTTGCCCCTGACTCTGCCAGTGTGGGTGGGGGCAGAAGGTGGCAATTTCCGTTCTGTCTCAGGTAGCAAAACGGGAGGAGCCTTCCCTGTCTCCTACGCTGAGCAACACAACCTTAAAAAGGTAAAGAGACCCTTGACCATTAGGTTCAGTAGTGGCCGACTCTGGGGTTGGGGCGCTCATCTCGTTTTATTGGCCGAGGGAGTCGGCGAACAGCTTCCGGGTCATGTGGCCAGCAGGACTAAGCCGCTTCTGGTGAACCAGAGCAGCGCATGGAAATGCCGTTTACCTTCCCGCCGGAGCGGTACCTATTTATCTACTTGCACTTTGACGTGCTTTCAAACTGCTAGGTTGGCAGGAGCAGGGACCGAGCAATGGGAGCTCACCCCGTCGTGGGGATTCGAACCGCCGACCTTCTGATCGGCAAGTCCTAGGCTCTGTGGTTTCACCCACAGCGCCACCCGTGACCCTAACACAACCGTAATCAGTCCTTAATGAGAAGAGTGGAACAGCCTTAAACACCATTATTGTTGTTTTATTAAAATCGTGCAGTATCTTAGGTAAGTACAGTGGTACCTCGGGTTAAGTACTTAATTTGTTCCGGAGGTCCATTCTTAACCTGAAACTGTTCTTAACCTGAAGCACCACTTTAGCTAATGGGACCTCCCGCTGCCGCCGTGCCGCGGAGCACGATTTCTGTTCTCATCCTGAAGCAAAGGTCTTAACCCGAGGTAATATTTCTGGGTTAGCGGAGTCTGTAACCTGAAGCATATGTAACCTGAAGCGTATGTAACCCGAGGTACCACTGTAAACAGATGAGAAAAACCTCAGATCAGTGGCAGGTTGAAGGAGAAAGCCAAATGATGCAATGTAAGCCCCCAAAGATGACCTCTCTCTCATTTTATTTCCATGACAGTGCTGGATGGAGGCCCTTTGCAACGCTGCTTCTTTAACAAACTCTGGGACGTTTGCTGCAAGTGGCAGAAGCAGCCGCCTCCACCTCCGAAGCCGCTTCATCGCTACCTCCAAGTTTCCATCCATGCAACCCGTAATACCCGTCGGAAAATGGAGGACAGGCATGTTTCCCTCCCAGAATTTAATCAGCTGTTTGGCTTGACGGTAGGTTTCTAGGGCTCAGGTGAGAGAACACTGGTGGCGTCAGGACAGAAGTCCAGAGAGCCACTCAGCAGGAATAAGCTAGGGGCAGAGGATACATCAGGGCTGACATAGCACATTTTGAAATAAGTGAATTAATACATGTTACCATCTAAACTTTCATAATAATGCTTTAGATCAGTCTGTTGGAAAAAGTAGCTTTCCACTGTGGCTTCCGTTTCAACCATTGTTTAATGGTCTATTTTTGAAACCTATTCCACGAAAGGTAGACTCTCCTTCCTTGGAGGTTTCGAAGCAGGAGTTTAAATGACCAGCTATCATCCTGCATTTCAGGGGGTTGGATCAATGACAGTTGGGGTACCTTCCAAAACTACCAATTCTATAGATTCTCTGAAAGAGGGCTGTGCCCCCACAACACCATTACCTGCAGGAGCGTCTCCACCCCCATCACTGAGATCCAGCTCCGAGGGCCTTCTCGGTGGTGGCACCCGCCCTTTAGAATGCCCTTCCATCAGATGTCAAGGAAATAAACAACTCTCCAACTTTTAGAAGACATCTGAAGGCAGACATGTTTAGGGAAGTTTTTAATGTTTGATGTTTTATTGTGTTTTTAATATTCTGTTGGGAGCCGCTCACAGTGGCTGGGGAAACCCAGCTAGATGGGTGGGGTATAAAAATAACAACAACAACAACAACAGCAGCAGCAGCAATAATAATAATAATAATAATAATAATAATAATAATAATAATGAAGTACAGGGTTTAACATGAAGTAACTGCACAACTGTGAGAGAGTGCAGGTACTCACAGATAGGGAAGGGGCACAAGTTTAATTTAATTCACACTTTTGGAAGCACTACAAGAACCAAAGCACAGAAAATTTGAACCTTCTCTTGAGTTTTACAGTGCAGTTTCCCATCCAAATAACGTTCACAAAAACATATATGCTGGGGGTCAAGTGTCAATGAAGATGCATATATTAGACAAAAACACTCAATTTTAGAGGAAATTGCAAAAATGTGCATATTAGGTAAAGTTTCTGGAAGTTGGATGAAGATCACGACAGAGTTCACACCAAGTTCTTTGAGGAATCTGTTATAGAATAGGCATTGGTTGAGCACACTAATCTCAAAACTATTTGCTAAGTTACTGTTCTGACATAATAAATATATTAATCTGAGTCTTGAAAATCCCTGCTCTCCCCCCCCCCCAGGACTAGTTCTAACTATGGTGATTTGGGGAGTGGGGTTCAGGAAAATTGCTTAAGAGATGAAAATGCAGCTCTAGGTACATGTCCTGTGCAAAACAGTGAGTTGTAGCCAGTGTAGTGCTGCTAAATGAACGTCATTTAGTGGTATACCTGTTCCACTGGCCAAATGTTTTGCACCAGCAGAAGGTTGCTGCGTAAGAAAATGCAAAATCAGGTCGCTGCAGATTTCATTTCACAATAGATTTCAGCAACCTGTTGCACAGCAGAGTAGCACACCTGTTGTATTGGAATTATTTATCCTGGGTCTTGTTACTGTTTATGCTTTGGCTTCTAGGTCCCCCGTATTGGTTGTTTTTCTACTTATTATTTATTTGTTTCATTAAAAAATTATATGCCTCTTGAGTGTAGAAAAACCTCACAAGAGTTTTATGGGGCGGGGGGAGATATAGCAATGAAATTATCACTGAAAAAATTCTTCAGCCCAGTAGGGCCATTCCGATACATTCACAGAAGTCACATGTGGTAAAAAATTATCTATGCCTTCTCTTTACATGTCCTTGCCTCCGGAAGGATGACGTGGACCGAGCGTACTTCGCCGTGTTTGATGGTCACGGAGGAATAGATGCGGCTAACTATGCAGCCGCTCACTTGCACGTAAATGTGGCACATCACAAAGACCTTCTGAAAAACCCGGTGGAGGCCTTGAGGGAATCTTTCCAGAAAACAGATGAAATGTTCCTTGCTAAAGCCAGGAGAGAGGTGAGTGGAGAGAGGCGAGTACTGCAGTAATTATAGATAGTTGGCTCGCCAGAGGAGTGGGTACAGCGAAGCTGAGTGCTGAGAAATGTGTCCTCTTGGTAATTGGCTTTTCTGTAGCGTTGCAGAAAATCCCGGGTAAATAATTTATTGGTTCACTTAATAGACTTTTGCCTAAGAATCATTGTCCACAAATCAGAGGAGGTGAAAGGTTTAATTTAGGCCAACGCTGATGGATGTTGGGGTCTTTCTAGAGGGGTAGCCATGTTTTTTTTAAGCCCAGTAGGTTCATCCAGGTTACTTTCTGTTTACTGTCACTCATGCAAGGATCCAGGAAATGATGGGCTGGAGTACATATGCCAAGAACTAGGAGAAACTGCATCTGGGATTAGGCTGCTGTAGCCGATTCCTTCTTTCTAATTCAGGTAAATTGGGAACCTGAGCTATAAGCAAGGTAGTTTCTCTTGTTTGAATGGTAGCATAGTGTGAGAGAGAGTAAGTAAGAAAACTCGTATAGCATAGTAATGTAGATTACAAGGTCATTTGGTGGGCAAGCCATTCCAAAATAATGCTGAAATGGACTGGTTGCAGATCAAAGTGATTTAAATAGCAAGGGGGAAAGTGCTTTTAAAACCTGTTTTCCAGCTACGCAATTTGTATATTTTCTGAACAAGCATGTATATGAACTGTTTACTTTTAAAAAATCAAAACTATATTGGTTTGCAACTAAATAGAGCACTTTTTAGAAAGTTGAAGCATAATCCAGACCTCTAATTGAGCTGTTTAGAAACAAGGTGGACATTTGCGAAGGTTAATCAGCTACCATTTGACACTCCCTATGCACATAGAGGGACAATCCCTAAGCACAATCATTTAACCATAAAATCCCCAGAACTTTCCTGAGGCCAGACTGGCAGTTAGTACTAGGGAGCGGGTGGCACTGCGGTCTAAACCACTAAGCCTCTCGGGCTTGCTGATCGGAAGGTCGGCAGTTCGAATCTGTGCAACGGGGTGAGCTCTCGTTGCTCTGTCCCAGCTCCTGCCAACCTAGCACTTCGAAAGCACACCAGTGCAAGTAGATAAATAGGTACTACTGTGGTGGGAAGTTAAAAGGCGTTTCCATGTGCTCTGGTTTTCACCACGGTGTTCCATTGTGCCAGAAACGGTTTAGTCTTGCTGGCCACATGACCTAGAAAGCTGTCTGCTGACAAATGCCAGCGCCCTTGGCCTGAAGTGAGATGAATTCTGGATCCCATAGTCACCTTTGACTGGACTTAACCGTCCAGGGGTCGGCTTTAGCTTTTACCTTACTAGGCAGAATAGTAGCTTTCCTTCCAATATATTTTATTTTATTTATTTTGAAATGCATCTATTGACCTATATAAAGTGTCCTCTGGGTGGTTCTCACAAAACAGATCTACAAAGTTAAAACACTAGAAACAACACAGGTGTGTGTGTGTGTGTGTGTGTGTATTTATATCCCTGCCCATTATCTTCACTCCTCTCACTATACCAGGATCAGCCACCAAAATCTCTTCTCATTAATTACTCCAACCATTCTCCTCTACTGTCCCCATGTGGCTAGAATTCCCTCCCTCTGTCTGTGACGACAGTTCTGTCTTTCCCCATCTGTACTATCCATTTAAAGCAGTGTTGTGCCACTTTAAGCAGTTATGGCACACACACACACATCCCCCCCCCCGGAAGAATCGGAGAACTGTAGGTGCTGAGAGTTGTTCGGAGGCCTTTCTTTGCCTTACAGAGCTACAATTCCAAGAATTCCCTGGAAGAGGGATTGATTGCTTAACCACTCTGGGAATTCTGCCTTTACCCTCCTTGATCAGAAGACAGGAAAACAGGAACAGCTTTACTGCTTAGTGAGCCAGCACACTTTGTTCCAGCTGAAAAGTGCGACAGACTTTGCTTTTTAAATTAAACCTGATCGTTCAGAGAGAAGGGCTTGGTATATTCCTGAGTGGGCCACCACCACCCCAACCCCCCGCTTGATGAATACAGCCCACAACATTGTTCTGAGAATACACTGCAAACCTCTTGTTTGTTTGTTTTAATATTTAATGCTTATAATTTATGTTAATGCAAGCACTAGACCTCTCTATCTGATTGTACCTTCTCACGTTGACCACTGCGGTGGTTGATTGTAATAGATGTTTGAAAGCACTTATTGAAAAGGCTATTACTGCCAGCACTGTATTGAATAGAAACAAACCAAGATCTTTAGGAGCATCTTCTGTTGCAATGGTTTTTGAATACATGAGTGGTGTCAGATGATACAGATAATTTGGATCCTTTCCAGTCTGGGTTTAGGCTCAAAATTGGGGCAAAAACAGCCTTGGTTGCCCTGATTAGTGCCTTACACTGGGGAAGGAGTGGGTGTCCACAAATCAGAGGAGGTGAAAGCTTTAATTTAGGCCAACGTTGATGGATGTTGGGGTCTTTCTGGATCTCTCAACAGCTTTTGATTTCATTGACCATGCTGTCCCTCTGGATCGGTTGTCTGGGATGGGACTACTCAGAGGAGCAGCGTTAACAGTGGCTGCATTCCTTCTTGGATAACCAATCTCAGAAGATGGTAGCGAAACATTTATCGGCCTACAGCATGTCTCAGAGTTCTGTTCTTCCCTCGCCCCCCCATGCTTGTTGTCATCTACATGAAACTGCTGGGAGAAGTCATCTGGAGTACGCAATAACTCTCCCAGCACTCTGGGAGAAGTCACCCAGAGTCATCCAGGCACACAGTAACTAGTTGCATTTTATTTCTTGACATGTTTTGAACAAACCGGATAGAAGTCATCACAACAATAGCAACAAAAGGCTAGTGTGAATTCACTCCAATGCTTTTTACATCGCTAACAGAGTTTCTATGATCTTTGATGCACGGTTAAATAATGAGCACCAATTCTCCCCACACAGTTACATTTCATCCTTTTAAAGGCTCTTTATAACATTCCCTCCCCCTTCTCTCTCTCTCTCTCTCTCTCTTTCTCTTCAAACTATACAGAAGCTGCGCAACGGTAGCACAGGTGTGGCTGCCTTGATTGTTGGGAACAAGTTACATATAGCTTGGCTTGGCGACTCACAGGTAATGCTAGTCCAGCAAGGGAAAGCTATAACCCTGATGGAACCTCACAAGCCAGAGAGAGAGGTAACTACTGCTTCTTTGAGTTTCCCCCACAAAGCTCTTGGCCTCTTGTGTATGTACACCAGTGTGGTGTAGTGGTTAAAAGCAGTGGACTCGTAATCTGGTGAACCAGGTTCAATTCCCCACTCCTCCACATGCAGCTGCTGGGTGACCTTGGGCTAGTCACATGTCTCTGTAGTCTTTCAGCCTCACTCGCCTCACAGAGTGTTTGTTGTGGGTGAGGAAGGGAAAGGAGATTGTTAGCTGCTTTGAGACTCCTTAGGGTACTGATAAAGCGGGATATCAAATCCAAACTCCTCCTCTTCTTCTCTTAACACTGGTCCTGAAAGACCTACATTGGCTCCCAGTACGTTTCCGAGCACAAGTCAAAGTGTTGGTGCTGAGCTTTAAAGCCCTAAACGGCCTCGGCCCAGTATACCTGAAGGAGCATCTCCACCTCCATCGTTCTGCCCGGACACTGAGATCCAGCTCCGAGGGCCTTCTGGCAGTTCCCTCACTGCGAGAAGTGAGGCTACAGGGAACCAGGCAGAGGGCCTTCTCATCATCATCATCAACCTTTTATTCGACCATCAGTCAGAAAAAAGTACATTTGTCAATACACAGTTAAAACATTCAGGAAGATTTTAGAACTTAGCCAACACTAAAAATGGGCTAAACAGATGGGCCTATACAGGGCCTTCTCAGTAATGACACCCATCCTGTGGAACGCCCTCCCATCAGATGTCAAGGAAATAAACAACTATCTGACTTTTAGAAGACATATGAAGGCAGCCCTGTATAGGGAATTTTTTTAATGTTTGATGTTCTACTGTGTTTTTAATATTCTGTTGGGAGCCATCCAGAGTAGCTGGGGAGGCCTGGCTAAATGGGCGGGGTATAAGTAATAAATTGTTGTTGTTGTTGTTATCACCATCATCATCATCATCATCATCATTCCCTCTAAATCCAAACATACCAGTTAATTTGAAAGTTAAAAGGGACCATGCCAAAATAAGAGTGAGATTAATAATAATGGATTGGATGAGAGCCAATAAACTGAAGCTCATTCCAGGTAAAACTTAAGGTACTGTCAGTGGGCGGATCCCTAGACTGGATGGATGGAAGGTTGCATTCTCTTGTTGGGGTTACACTCCCTCTGAAAAAGCATATCTGCAGCCTGGGGTTACTTCTGGATCCATTGCTGTTGCTTGAGGCTCAGGTGGACTCAGTGGCATGGAGTGCCTTCCATTAGCTTTGGTTGGTGACCCAGTTGCAACCGTATCTGGATAGGGATAGCCTAACTGATGTCATCTATGCTGTGGTAACCTCTGAGTTAGATTACTGCAACATGTTGTATGTTGGGCTGCCCGTGAAGACTGTTCGGAAACTTCAGCTGGTGCAGAATTAAGCCAGCCTGTGATCCTACGATGAAGGACGGTATAGAAATTTAATAAGTAATAAAATAACATAAAAATTTAAAATAAGTTTTTAGCGGAAGCTGATTTGCAGTAGAATGGAAACAGTGCTGATTGCAATCAACACAGGGCAGGATAGAAATTGCTGCCTCCTTACATCCCTAGGCTGGTTGGTACTGTGCTTCCTGTGCCTGTCACACCTACAACTATAGATTTAGTGAGCTTTTGTTGTTGTTGTTTATTTAGGATGAAAGACAACGCATAGAAGCCTTAGGAGGTTGCCTTATCTACATGGACTGCTGGCGTGTCAATGGAACCCTGGCTGTTTCCAGAGCTATCGGTAAGCCATGTCCTTGAAGAACATCAGCCCTAATGTTGTTCATTTGCCATATTTAGCTGTAATGAAATATTGTCAGCATGTAAGTGTGATGGGGCGGCTGTTGTTTGTTCTACCGCCGTTCACAACTTTGCATTCCGTATCAGTTTGGGAGTTATTTCAAAGCACAGCCTTGACAGCTAGAAACTTCACAAGTAACACACACTCACAGGCAATGGTTTGATACTGCAGGGCTTTTGTGGAAATCTGTAATGAACAAGACAAAAGCAGCCATATCCTAACTTCACAAGGCCATTTGGGGTTTTTTTTCTTACCAACAGACACTGCAGCATTTTCCTAACCTTGGACTGAATCGCTGCCGTTATTGCACCTACATTAATAATTGTTCCATGTGGTACATTGCCATAGTAACACAAACCTGACAGTGCACACTGCTCTTCCAGCTCCTTCCTCAAAGCATCTGTAAAACTATTTTATTATTATAGTTGTGCCTCCTGAAATGGCCCAAGCATGCACTCCTATTGAGAAGTCATGGATCGTTTCCCCTCGTCACTCGATAATTTTTGCAAAATGCGGGGGGGGGGACTTTTTTAGGGCCAAATGTAATATAAAAATGTTTTTTTAAAAATAAACAAATAAATATCCTAGGTCAATTTTTTATAAATGTTGATTATCATGCTGAGTGCTGCCTGTTTCTGACATGTGAACTGCCTCCTTCCATGAGTCATCTGAAAGCCCTGCTCTGTGCTCCTGGGAATAAGACTACAGTGGTAAAGGTAAAGGGACCCCCACCATTAGGTCCAGTCGTGACCGACTCTGGGGTTGCGGCGTTCATCTCGCTTTATTGGCCGAGGGAGCCGGCGTACAACTTCCGGGTCATGTGGCCAGCATGACTAAGCCGCTTCTGGTGAACCAGAGCAGCGCACGGAAGCGCCGTTTACCTTCCCGCCAGAGCGGTACCTATTTATCTACTTGCACTTTGACGTGCTTTTGAACTGCTAGGTTGGCAGGAGCAGGGACCGAGCAACGGGAGCTCACCCCGTCGCGGGGATTTGAACCGCCAACCTTCTGGTCAGCAAATCCTAGGCTCTGTGGTTTAACCCTCAGCGCCACTCGCGTCCCAAGACTACAGTGGTACCTCAAGTACTTAATTCGTTCTGGAGGTCCGTTCTTAACCTGAAACTGTTCTTAACCTGAAGCACCACTTTAGCTAATGGGGCTTCCTGCTGCTACCGCGCTGCCGGAGCATGATTTCTGATCTCATCCTGAAGCAAAGTTCTTAACCCGAGGTAATATTTCTGGGTTAGGGGAGTCTGTAACCTGAAGCATATGTAACCTGAAGCATCTATAACCCAAGGTACCACTGTACGTGTGAAGCAGCAGGCACCACAGTTTTGGCATGGTCTCCCAAAAGTGACCTGCCATTAGGGCTGGGCGGTATCTGGTTTTCAACATTGTGGTATATATCACCCTACTCAATATCACGATACATCACGATGTCTGAAATCGGGATGGAACTATGTAGAGAGGCATTGGCTGGCTTCACAGTTTTCCCCACATTGTTATTTTTGCATAGCACACACACATTAGGGCTGGGCAATGTAGCGATATAGAATCAAAAAACTGGTTTGAAGTCCAAATCATGGTAACGGTTTCATAACATTCAACATGGCGATGTGTGTGTGCGTGTGTGTGTGTGTGTATCAGTATCAATATATAGATATATATGATGACGGGGAAACCGTGAAGCCAATCATCACTTCTCTTGTGATTCCCTATTGCTCTGTACTATAAAATAACAGTTGCAACAATCTGTTATAGGTAAAGTAAAATCGTATCAGTTTTAGATCCCTAAATAGTAGTTTCTGGGACATTAACCCGTTCACTTTCACATGATTATGTCCTTATTTCGGACATCATAGTATATTGGTATATCAGAATGTTTAGCTTGGTGATATGTCACTCTGTTGGAAGCCAACCCTAACACACATCATGATTCACGATATATTGCCAGGTAAAAAATTATGAAACTGATATCACAATATCGACTTCAAACTGGTTTGGGGCGATATATCACCCAGCCCTCCCCACCGTGCTCTAATTATATATTATTATATATGAGAGCCAGTGTGGTGTAGTGGTTAAGAGCAGTAGCCTCATAATCTGGTGAACTGGGTTCGCGTCTCTGCTCCTCCACATGCAGCTGCTGGGTGACCTTGGGCCAGTCACACTTCTCTGAAGTCTCTCAGCCCCACTCACCCCACAGAGTGTTTGTTGTGGGGGAGGAAGGGAAAGGAGCATGTTAGCCGCTTTGAGACTCCTTAAAGGGAGTGAAAGGCGGGATATCAAATCCAAACTCTTCTTCTCTTCTTCTATTTTATTTTTACATTTATATCCCACTTTTTCCTCCATGGAACTGAGGGTGTCATCCATGGTTCTCCCCCTCCCCATTTTACCCTCACAACAACCCTGTGAAGTAGTCAGCTCGTGGTCAGCTTCGTGGCTTAGTGGGGATTTGAACCCTAGCTTCCCTGCCCCTAGTTCGACACTCTAACCCAGGGGTCAGCAAACATTTTCAGCAGGGGTCTGGTCCACTGTCCCTCAGACCTTGTGGGGGGCCGGACTATATTTTTGGGGGGGAAATGCCCAACAAATAACCCAGAGATGCATTTTAAATAAAACACACATTCTACTCATGTAAAAACAGCAGGCAGGCCCTACAAATAACCCAGAGATGCATTTTAAATAAAAGGACACATTCTGCTCATGAAAAATCACCAGGCAGGCCCCACAAATAACCCAGAGATGCATTTTAAATAAAAGGACACATTCTGCTCATGAAAAATCACCAGGCAGGCCCCACAAATAACCCAGAGATGCATTTTAAATAAAAACACACATTCTACTCATGAAAAATCACCAGGCAGGCCCTACAAATAACCCAGAGGTGCATTTTAAATAAAAACACACATTCTACTCATGAAAAATCACCAGGCAGGCCCTACAAATAACCCAGAGGTGCATTTTAAATAAAAACACACATTCTACTCATGTAAAAACACACTGATTCCTGGACTGTCCACGGGCCAGATTGAGAAGGCTATTGGGCCTGATCCGGCCCCCAGGGCTTAGTTTGCCTACCCATGCCTAACCACTAAACTACACTGCACTGATCTTTTTTTGTCATCTGACTAACACACCTTTCTCTAAACTTTAGGGCAGAAGTCCTTTTTTACTTTTCTCTTCAATTGCAGGATGTGTCTTTACTAAGATTACGATGGGGTGGGACGGGACATGATGGCATTGCTGGGGGTTGGACTAGATGATCCTTGGGGTTGCTTTCCAACCCTGCAATTTTATGATTCTAAGCAGCAAAGTACCAAAGCTTCCAAGAAAAACAAAAAAATCCAGAAGGGGAAACAAACCAGAGGCATTTCCAAATTAATTCATAGAAGCGTTCCTTAATTTCGATTAACTGCTTTTACAAGTAGTTGCATATTTTACGTGTTTAACCTCCTTGCGGGGGTTGGGGGACAGAAAGGCAAAATAATGGGTTTTAACATTTAAAATAATTCTATATGCACGTGGGTGTGTTTGTTTCATCAGTAGCTCACTGGTGAAAATCTACTCCCTTGCCAGTATTAGACATTAGACATGACGCTGCCTACAGCAAAGCGAGTTTTCAGACTCCCAACTGTGTGTGAAGAGGAAGAACCATTTGCTGCAACATTCATATCACTGCATTGAGAAGAGCCCTGGAAAACAGAATAATGAGCTGGAGGACTGCAGCCGCATTCTGGGGCTCATTTAAGACGCCATGCCAAACCACGGCTAAGGAAGCTTTGCGTGAACTGACAACGCCTGGTTTGCAATACCAAAGTTGGAACCTATGGTTTGACACAGATTTGCAAACCATGGTTTGTGCTAAGTTTGGCTTGGCGCGATTCCTGAATTAAGAATGCATAGTTACTGCCGTTGCTCTGCCTTCGAAGCTGCTGCACCATGGAGACGAGCGAGAACTTAGGAGCTTATGAAACAGTGTGCCGAGAGGAGGGAAAACAAAATCAGACAAGCAGTTCTAATCCACAGTTTGCATCTTCGGGAGCTTCAACAACGGCTGGGATTCTAAACTGTAGTTATCGCAAATTATGGTTCTCCCATAATTCGGAGATAGGAAGACATTTGACAGTGAGGTAGGGGAACCAGGAAGGCGGGGCCTAAAGTCTCTTTCTGTTAGATTGGGGGTTGGTCAGAAGTTCCCATCCATCTTACTGCCTGACACAAGGAAGGCTGTTGGAAGTGGCGAGTCAGAGGTGTCCAGACTCTTTCTTTTTAAGTAAATAAAAATAAAGAAAATGGCACAAAAATATTGGTCCTCATTCTCCCTGCACCATCCTGGCTGATGTTGTTCATCACAGGAACTCCTTCAAGCCATGTTATGTTCCTATGCTTCTCTTCCCCCCCCTAAAAGAAGTTACACATTAAAGTGAATGTTAATCAAAGCAAAATCTGCAGGTTCCTGCTTAGGCAAAACATTTGAGGATTTCAAGGGAAGCTTTTTTAAAAAAAGAAAAGAAAACCCTTTGGGAAGATCAATAAGATTTTTCACTTATCCATGGAAAACCTTCAGTTCTAAGCTCTGTAGTCCTGGTTCACCACCTGCCTGCAATGAGATTTTTGAAAGACCTTTACAGCAACAATTTCTTCCCCAAGAGGCCTGTGGGTGGATGCCTGTGGCATTACTGGGGTGCATGCACATGTACACACGCTCTTTTTTCCATGCACCACATTTGATCACACACAGAGAGAGACAACTCTTTCAAAGCAGTGACTGCATTTGCGATAGACAACCAAACCCCTGCTTTCCAAGGTGCCTTCTCCTGGGGAAGAGCAGAGCAGACTTCTTTCCATCCTAGCAAGGATAAATTGTGCTTCTTCCAGCCCCATTACCTGTTTGGTGTGCTAAGGAGAAGGTTTGAATGGAGAGATAGATGCACAAAGATGACTCTCCCTATCTGACTAAAGGTAAAGGTAGAAGGACCCCTGACCGTTAGGTCCAGTTGCGGATGACTCTGGGGTTGCGGCGCTCATCTCGCTTTATTGGCCGAGGGAACCGGCGTACAGCTTCCGGGTCATGTGGCCAGCATGACTAAGCCACTTCTGGCGAACCAGAGCAGTGCACGGAAATGCCGTTTACCTTCCTGCTGGAGCGGTACCTATTTATCTACTTGCACTTTGACGTGCTTTCGAACTGCTAGGTGGGCAGGAGCAGGGACCGAGCAACGGGAGCTCACCCCGTCGCGGCAATTCGAACCACCACCCTATCTGACTACCTTCCCATTAAAATAGAGAAGTGCAGAGAAGTGCCCTTCATTGGATCAGAAGTGCTAGCAGACCTGGGGTGGGATGGGAAGATTAAAGCCCCCCCCCCCAGCTTCTTATTTGTTTAAATGATTTTTAATTGTGCTTCATCCTCGTGTGGTTTTTAACTTTATATGTACACCACTCAGCAATTCTGAATATTAAGTAGTATACAGATTGTTGTTGTTGTTGTTTAGTCGTGCCTGACTCTTCGTGACCCCATGGACCAGATCACGCCAGGCACTCCTGTCTCCCACTGCCTCCCGCAGTTTGGTCAAACTCATGCTGGTAGCTTCGAGAACACTGTCCAAAGTATACAGATACCTGGAATGAAATAAATATACACAAGATCACTGTCCCTGCACTGCAGTTTGCAATGTTTTCCCCTCAGCTTTGGGAAGGCCTTGTCAGGTCGCAAAGGTTGGCTTGGCATGCAGATCACCCACCCTTGGTTTAAAGCAGGCATGTATAAAAGTCTGTCTTGGGGGCCAACAACATTAGTCGGCCCTCACGCATGTTCATTTCATCAAATCTGGCCCTCTTTGAAAAAAGTTTGGGCACCCCTGGTTTAGAGCAACGCTTCCCAAACTTGTCTCTAGCCATTTTTGGACTGCAATTCCCATAATCCTTGACCACTGGCCCTGCTAGTTAGGGTTGATGGGAGTTGTAGTCCAACAGCAGTTGGAAACCCAAGTTTGGGAAACCCTGATTTAGAGCTTCGCCTTAAACAGAGGCAGAGGTTGACGGCTCAGAAAAGGGAATGGGGCAGATGGGATTTTGTACCTCGTGTGGTAATTTACTTCATTCTCTCCTGCTTGCTTTATTAGGCGACCCGCTCCAAAAGCCTTATATCTCTGGCTGTGCAGATAGTGCATCGTTTGAGCTAACTGGTGCCGAAGATTATGTGCTTCTCGCTTGCGACGGATTCTTTGACACCATCCAGCCATTTGAGGTGGTGGACCATGTTCTAGAGCACTTAATGCAAAACAAAGGGGACGGCCTCAAGACTGCGGAGAGGCTGGTGGCGGCCGCAAAGGAAAGTGGATCCAGTGACAACATCACTGTCCTGGTGGTGTTTCTAAGGGAGCCCAAAGACATCATGTCCGACTGCCTCAGAGACCCTAGAAGCTGCTCTGCTGACGACTGCACAGGGAACCCGCTCCTTAACTTTTTCAGCTCCGAGAAGAACCATTGAAATGGAAGACGAAAGGGTGACTATCAAATCCATTTAAAGCACAACATCCAAACGTAAGCAAGTTCAAATAGGGGTGGGATTCCTTTTACCACTGGAAAATGAAAGCTATTTTGTGGCAGACAAGATGCAAGAACTTAAGTATTTCAAAACCCAGGGTTGTCTTCAACTAAGCTGCTCAAGAGTAGGCCGTTTAGAAATCAATGGACCTAAACTAGTCATGCCTATGGATTTCAATGATGCTATGATGCTTCCATAACTCCGGCCGGTGTCTGGATTGTACCATTTTAGATTGCAGGTTCAGGGAATGCATAACTGAATGTCCCTTCGTGCAAAAGAGAAAAAAATATTTTAAAAATCCAACAGCCCTCTTAGGTGCAGCCAAACTATACCTGAGTGAAGGCTTCTAACCTTGCTACTCTCTGGCTGCATTTGATCACAATGGTAAACCACAGTTTGAAATAATACATGGTTTAACATCCATGAGTGCTTTCCAGACTGCGCTCTGCAGAGGAGAAAACAAAGCCAGAGTTTGACTTGATGTGACCTGGTTTGTCTCCTCCAAACAAACCATGAGTGGTAAGTCAGAACCAACATTGGCCAATGGTTTGTGTGGAGGAAATGAACTGTAAGGCTCGGTTCATGTGACTTGTTTCCTCTGGTGCATGACACAGGAGCAGGGAAATTAAAAAAAGTTTGTATACCACAAATAAATGATAGTTCATTTTAAATGTTTTTATTTTAATGTTGAGTACGGACCAGGTCTCTGACACAACAGTTTTCTGTGTGGAGGGTTTTTTGTTTTTGTTTTGTTTTTAAATGGAGGAGCATTCAGTCATGCAAATCCCCATCTAAAGCCTGCCATGAAACAACTCAGACACAAGGCCTCAAAAAGTCTGGTGGTTTTGCATTTACTTCTTTGAAGTAGTTTTAAGCCTGCCCATTCATATCCCTGTCTCTTGGGAAGATGGTAAAATAACATACTGTATGTTAAAGATCAATACTCGGAACCCTCTGGAATAATTTTAAATATCATTTAAAGGAGGTTGCATTTAGATGCTACTTAATGATAAGCGTGAATAAGCTACCACACCCTCACCAAAGATGAGTGAATTGCTGTGGACAGATTCAGTATTAAACAAAGTACCAGATACTGGAACATCACAATATTGTCTTGCATAAGAGCTGACGTCCCCTTCTCTTCATTGCATACCAAAGAAAATATTACTAAGGAATATCAAGAACATGTTAATGAGGCTTCAGAAGAAAGGGAGCTTAGATACTGAAATGGAAAATGCATTTCCGAAAATAATACCTACTAACGTACCAAACTATGAGCATAGGAAACGTCTGTAGGAAGGTGCCATTACTTGTAAACACCATTAGTGTCATGGAGGCAATTTTAATGCAGTGGGTTGCAGCCAGTTCACAAACACAACTCTTGATTGAGCCTTATCCATTCCATTGAGTGTACAAGGAGACAGCATTCAATGGCTTTTCAGGGTTTTACCGTTCCATCCTACTGGTGCCTATTAAGTACTAAGGACAAAATATTTTGTCATCCGGTTTGAAAAGACATTGGCCACGTTCACATGGCGTGTTAAGCTATGGTTTGTTTTATCCATGGTTTGTTGGAACAAACCAAAGTAAGTCTCACTGATGAGCAAATTAACCATAGCTTGTTCCGCCTAATCTTGATTTCATTTTCTAACCACTCTTGCCACACATCCTATCTGGGGAGGGGCACCAAAATAATCCAGGATTACGCCAGGATAGTAGGCGTAGCAAGAAACTATGGTTAGCGCAAGCCAAAGTTTGTAAGCCAACTTCAAACCATAGTTTCATATTCTGGTTTGGTGGCCACAGGCAAACCATAGATAGTTGACTGAGGTGGGTTAACAAACTACAGCTAAGATAAGCAGACCATGGCTTCATGTTAAGAACAATGGGCTGGTTTGAACATGTTATGTGCATCTCATTGTGAATATAACATTTAGTATTTTAATATTTTTATACTCTTCTGTGGTTGAGGACTTTTTTTAGGTGTGTTATGTTCAAAGCTTTATTTATATCAGGATTTAGATGTATATAACTGTTATTTTTTTTGCCACTGGTATTTAAAACTGGCCACTCTCAAGTGCCATATGTCATTCTGACACAGATGCAAAGGGCTGCTTCTTCTCTCATGATGTGTGAAGTGTTAGTTTTTATATTCATTTTGAGGAGGTGACCTATTATGTTAATTTAAATACTTGTAAAGCACTTAAGGCTTTCTTGATGTATGCAAAAACTGGTGTGGGCAAGAACCTTTTCATTTAAAATATTGTTGCAGGGGCATGCTATTTTAAAAGCTTTTCCAAGAAGGTGTACTTTTGATCTAAAGGAAATGTTCGGCTGCCCCTTTAGCGAGAGGTAAGGACACGGGTGGCGCTGTGGGTTAAACCACAGAGCCTAGGACTTGCCGATCAGAAGGTCGGCGGTTCGAATCCCCACGACAGGGTGAGCTCCCGTTGCTCGGTCCCTGCTCCTGCCAACCTAGCAGTTCAAAAGCACATGAGAGTGCAAGTAGATAAATAGGTACCGCTCCGGCGGGAAGGTAAACGGCGTTTCCGTACGCTGCTCTGGTTCGCCAGAAGCGGCTTAGTCATGCTGGCCACATGACCTGGAAGCTGTACGCCGGCTCCCTCGGCCAATAAAGCGAGATGAGCACCACAACCCCAGAGTTGGCCACGACTGGACCTAATGGTCAGGGGTCCCTTTACCTTTACCTAAGAGCTATTTGAAAGTGAATCGGACTCCCTCAGAAGGTGGTGGGGCCCTCCTTTGTTGGAGATTTTTAAAGAGAGGTTGGATGGCCTCTCAGGAATTCTTCAACTGCGATTCCTGCATGACTCTTGGTGGTCTCTCCCAACTTTACAATTCTACAATTCTGTACCATCAATCAAAGCACAGTTGTTTGAGGCTCAAACAACCCATGATGCCAGCAGACCTGTTTGTTTAAACTTGGCTCTGTTCCAATCAAATAGGTTGGTTTTGTTTTCAAGCGCAAATACACTAGAGGGACCTGCCATCACTAGTCTATAAACTAGAAATGCATGGCTTACTGGTGTAAACAGGGACATTTTTCCCTCCCAAAGGGAAAAGGCTTCCTGTCACATCCTGTTAATCTGTTTGACATGCAGTGTTTTGCAGAACCTTTGAGAGAGCAAGGGAATGCGCAGAACAATTTTTAGAACAATGGGGGAGGGGGTTTTTTTATTTTATTTTTAAGTAAATCCACCCTCTAATAGTGGTAAGGGAGGGATGGGAAAGCATTTAAGAATTATTAGTGCCTGCTTTTGAAAGGAAGGTGGGCTGGGAAATAGAGCTACATATGCCTTGCTTCTTATCGAGAGATGTAGAGCACTGGAGGAAGCCAGAAATCTTATGCTGGGAGGGTGAATCTGATAAATATAGCTATATAGAGACATTGGATAGTACAAGGTGGCTGGCAGAGATGATCAGAACTATCTTAAATAGGTTTGGGGTAGGGAGTTCTCAAAGCATATAGATGCCCATGTGTTTGTCAATCCTAGGGCATTTCCCGAATACAGCGTGCAAGAAATAATGTGTGCGTGTCAGTACAGTGGTGCCTCGCAAGACGAAAAGAATCCGTTCCGCGATTCTCTTCGTCTAGCGGTTTTTTTGTCTTGCGAAGCAACCCTATTAGCGGATTAGCGCTATTAGCGGCTTAGCGGCTATTAAAGGCTTAGCGGCTTAGCTGCTAAAAGGCTATTAGCGGCTTAGCGGCTTAGAAAAAGGGGGGGGAGCAAAAAAAAATTGCAAGACTAGCAAGACGTTTCGTCTTGCGAAGCAAGCCCATAGGGAAAATCGTCTTGCGAAGCAACTCAAAAACAGAAAACCCTTTCGTCTTGCGGGTTTTCCGTCTTGCGAGGCATTCGTCTTGCGGGGCACCACTGTACTTGCATGTACAGAAATGGTACACACACACAGAGTACATGCAAGGACTGCACACCTGCAGCTGCTGCTGTAAGTGAATTTCCTGAAGGCTGCTGATGGCTTGGCTTGATACTGCAGGTTTTCTTCTGATAGGATGAACAACGAAGGGGTTGTTTCGGCAGATTTGGCAGCTGAATAACGTTAATCACAGCAATGACTTTAATCGTTGACACTGAGTGGAACTCAGGAGTGGGATGATGCCTTGCTTCTGTTCCCCACCCCCAAACCCCACAGCTTCGCTTCTTTTTCATGCGCTCCCAAAGCAATTAGAATCCTTTTCGCAAAAAGCTCTAAAACTTATAGAAAGAAAGTTGCCCTCGTTTGACATGGGCTTTGCTCTCCGTGTTCTGGCAGTGCCTGCTTTTGCCTGTTGGCTTAGACCAGTAAAATGACTTCATCACCTGAGCCAAAGCGGTCATGTTTCGGGTGAGGTGGGCAGCATCCTGAAAATCTCTCTTTGCCAGGTGCTGGGTAGCAGAGGATGACTCACGCTGTACTTTATCCTCATTTGTGCCCAGGTCTCTACGACTAGAAAGGGAGCACAGAACCTTTAATCAATCTGTGGGCCACCCTCCCTTCTAAGCAAGCTTCCTATATCCTAGTTTCTACACACATACACCTCTCTGTTTTCCAGAGGCACCAGGGAACACATTCTAGCCAGGCAAGAACACTCAAGGGGTGGTATCAAGATGAGGCCCACAGGCCAGATAGAGAGGCCTCCGTTTCACTGGTAGTCAATGCACGAGTCAGGCATAAGAACAGTGTTTCTCAATTTTGGCTCTCCAGCTGTCGTTGGACTACAACTCCCATCATCCCTGGCAACTGCTCCTGCTAGCTAGGGATGATGGAAGTTGTAGTCCAAGGACATCTTGGAGGCCGCAGAGGTTTCCCACCCAACAGCAAGGTCCCTTTGGAGAGCTAAATGCATGGTATGCTGGCAACATCAGCCCTGCGTACTTTGAAAAATCATGGAATCATAGAATTGTAGAGTTGGAACGATGGCTATGGGGCAGTGGTTTTCAACCTGTGGGTCCCCAGATGTTGTTGGACTACAACTCCCATCATCCCTGAGCTCTGGCCTTGCTAGCTAGGGGTGATGGGAGTTGTATTTCAACAACATCTGGGGACCCACAAGTTGAGAAAGGCTGCTATAGGGTAATGAATTCCTGTTTAGTCCCCAGAACCAAGTTGACTTTAATTCGAAGGAAGAGGAGATAAAATATATATGTTTCATAGTCAGCTGTCAGTTGATAGAAATGGAAACTAGCTGCTGCTTATACTTCCTTTATGGTTTCAAACCCCCCCCCCCCCCAATTTATTACCTTTCTTAATGACAGGGATGGTTTAATACTACTGTTTACTCTCTATATGTTACAATATGTCAAACACATAGACTTTTAACTGCTGTAAGTTTTATTCAGTGGGAATGTATAGTTATACGAGCCCAAAATATGGGTGGGACAGTCACTGTCGGATAGCCAAGTCCTCCTGTTCCATTTTGCCTCTTCTTTGCCTTATTTTCTGGTCTTCTAACTAGAATGACCACTCACAGCCTTAGACGTGTACTATTTGGACTTGAATTCTCCCTGGAGATTCATTACATCAGGAGCTGCCCTGCTAAATTTCTTCCAGGGCTTAGATTCCACTGACAAACTGCGGAAGTCAGATTCATACTACACAGTTTTGCAAAAGCAATAGAAATGCAGTTGTAGGGCCAGAACATTCAGTGTGCGGAAGACTATAAAAGTAAAGGAAGGCCATGAAATCAGCCCTCCATGCAAGCATTTATATGAATGCATAGCCTTGTAGAATAGCAGCTTAGGGATGGGAGGTGGGAGAATTTGTTTCTGTCTGCATTTTAGTGAGAAGCTAGCTAATGCACACTTCTGGAACCAGGGTGTGAACCCAAACGCAATCATTGTGCAGGGCACCAAAACTAGGGTTGCCATACGTCTGGAATTTGTCCGGGATTTCAATGTTGGAATTATCGTCGGTTGGAAATCGGTAAAATGTCACACAATGAAGTGTTCGTTGCTTTCCCAAAACCAGCTTTTGTGCCCCGGATTTTTACCTCTTGAAAAATGGCAACCCTAACCAAAACATGTATTTTGACCCTTAAAAGCATTATCCACTTGACCACACGTCTTTAATAAGTTTTTTTTTCTACTTCCCATCCTACATTTTTAAAGAGCAGATTCTCAGACAACATAATTCTGCCTTATTGTTACTGTTATTATTACGATGATGATGATGATGATTTTGCAGCATACGGCCTATATAAAGAGCCCACTCTCTGGACAGTCTGTTGGCCATCTTTGCTTTGGCCAAACTAGAGACGATCAAGCTGCTACGCTTAATAATGCAACATGCTTTTTGTCGAGCCGTTTCTCCAGCATTTGGCATATTATATAACTACAGAAGTACAAGCAGTAATGCTCCTCTTCTGTAACTACTCCTGCTGATTCCCCCCCCCCCAAGTTGTCAGTATTAATGACTTTGAGAGTACTTAAGTGTTGCTTTATCTTGGCAGTGTTCCTTCATTCTGCCCTGTTGCCTAACCAGCCTTGAAAGGAAACCCAACAAAAATTATGTTTAGAAGTAAGGAAGTTTTTATTCTGTGTGTCATTTTAAACGTAATCCTATTTATTTTTAAACACTGTCTGCTGATAACGAAGACTGGAAAAAGGGTGGGCTTTTATAAACTGTTGCTCTGGTACTTTGGTAGCCAGAGGTTTGATAGCTTTTTCATAGTTACGATATGTGCATGAACTGTAACCCTGTTCTTATTAATCATGATTATAT